TTGGCGATCGTGTGCAACTATACGCGCAAAGAGCCGTGGAAAGCTTTGAGGAGATGCCGAGAGAGAGAGAGATACATCGTTTCGATAACGTATAGAGATCGATTCTCAATGTTAATATTCGCAACGCGTATATCATTGTAAAACATTGAACTTGGTGAGCTCGAATTGCAGTGAAAAAAAAATCGTACGACGTGTATATCGCTTGCGTTTTACCTTTCAATTACGGTCGTGTGTATTGATACACGCGAAGATGCGCGCTATAAAAGCCACTTTTTTCCCCTTGCGAATGAAACAAAAAAAAAACGCGCGAGCTTCGCAACGACAAAAAATCCGATGCTGCACGTCACAAATTAAAAAATCCTGCGAATCGGGGAGGTGACGCGTGGGTCGCACACGTGCGCGCGAAGATCAGCTGACGCGCTATTAGCAAACCTAATCCACAGGTAAACCAACAAAAAAAAAAAATTATTACGCGCGCGCGAGGTAATGACTTTTATTTATATGCACATAGGATCGTATCCGTACAAAAAGTTAATTATTTCGCGATGCGAATTCCGTATACGTACCGTCGATTCGGTGTAATTAATTTTCTTCTTTATTTTTTCATCGTCATTGTCGCAAAGCTCAATTGTGGATATGTAAACAAAAGCTCCCTTTGCAATTTCGTAATTAATAAGGAAAATGAATAAATAAAAGGCACACACGCGATCATTATACAACAAGCGCTCTCTCGTCTTGCCGCTCGATATCGATATTATTATATTTTTTTGGACAGCGTAATATTCCACGAATGATTTTTTTTTACTTTTCTTTTTGTTTAATGCACGAGGCGGCATTATGCAGATAAGGCGCGCTTATGTATAATATATATGAGCAGTTTTTTCATATATGTACAACTTTTGTGCGGGGGGTTCTCGGATCTGCCCCAAAATTTAGTATGTTATTTGGGTATGTGAAAATAGCCTTCAGGTAAATTTTTAGCCCGCTAGGGGCCTTAGGGCCCAAATTTGGGCCCCTCGAAGGTCCAAAAATAACCGTTTTTACCTATTTTTGCGTATTATTCAAATATTTGTAACTCGGGCACCGGTGCATATTTTTCAACTCTGAGGGTCGCATTTTTTAGGTCAAGACATGTACTTTTCGTAAAAAAATTATGTAGAGCTCGATAGACCAACCCCCGGTTATGGGGGGGCAATGAAGGGGGATGAAAAATCGCAAAATTGACGTTTTTTAGCTTTTTTTGAATTGATGCAGAAGGCGACTGGATTGACGTATTTACTTTTGCAACGTCTCATTTTAAAGGTATTTTTATTACCTTTAAATTGCCGTGCGCAGAATTAAGATTGGTTCAAAAACGACGGAGATAGAGCTGTTTAAAGGTGTCAACATTATGAAAAAAGGCGTTTTTTCGAGATTTCGATAAGCTGTAACTTTTTTCTAGTAACATGAATCTCTTTGAAATTTTATGTGAAAGTAGTTGATTACATGTAGTTTGAAGCCATGTAGGTAAGGATCTTGGTATTTGCCTCTATAACCGAAAACGAGGCCCCCGAAATCCGGCACTTTAGCCCTTATATAGGCAAAATACATGTTAAATTGGGCGGCAAAACTATTTGGTAACTCCTGAAATTATCGCAAAATAAACATAAAAAAAAAATCAAAAACCCCATATTAAACGTATTTTTCGACGAGGAATCCAATGGTAACCTCGAATTTGACCTTGAACATAACCTCTAAACTATAGCGAACCAAAATTGATTTTTCGCACGGTGACCCCCTTTTTTTATTTCAGATTTGAAAAGAGCGGAAAATTTCACGTTCAAATACATATTTCGTTTTTTTTTTCAAGGTAATTTTAAGGGCCCCACAGTTTGAAAATGAAGGCTCCATTAAAACTAATATTAAACTCAGCCAAAGAGTTTATTCTTGATCTGTGGGGCCCTTAAAATTACCTTGAAAAAAAAAACGAAATATGTATTTGAACGTGAAATTTTCCGCTCTTTTCAAATCTGAAATAAAAAAAGGGGGTCACCGTGCGAAAAATCAATTTTGGTTCGCTATAGTTTAGAGGTTATGTTCAAGGTCAAATTCGAGGTTACCATTGGATTCCTCGTCGAAAAATACGTTTAATATGGGGTTTTTGATTTTTTTTTTATGTTTATTTTGCGATAATTTCAGGAGTTACCAAATAGTTTTGCCGCCCAATTTAACATGTATTTTGCCTATATAAGGGCTAAAGTGCCGGATTTCGGGGGCCTCGTTTTCGGTTATAGAGGCAAATACCAAGATCCTTACCTACATGGCTTCAAACTACATGTAATCAACTACTTTCACATAAAATTTCAAAGAGATTCATGTTACTAGAAAAAAGTTACAGCTTATCGAAATCTCGAAAAAACGCCTTTTTTCATAATGTTGACACCTTTAAACAGCTCTATCTCCGTCGTTTTTGAACCAATCTTAATTCTGCGCACGGCAATTTAAAGGTAATAAAAATACCTTTAAAATGAGACGTTGCAAAAGTAAATACGTCAATCCAGTCGCCTTCTGCATCAATTCAAAAAAAGCTAAAAAACGTCAATTTTGCGATTTTTCATCCCCCTTCATTGCCCCCCCATAACCGGGGGTTGGTCTATCGAGCTCTACATAATTTTTTTACGAAAAGTACATGTCTTGACCTAAAAAATGCGACCCTCAGAGTTAAAAAATATGCACCGGTGCCCGAGTTACAAATATTTGAATAATACGCAAAAATAGGTAAAAACGGCTATTTTTGGACCTTCGAGGGGCCCAAATTTGGGCCCTAAGGCCCCTAGCGGGCTAAAAATTTACCTGAAGGCTATTTTCACATACCCAAATAACATACTAAATTTTGGGGCAGATCCGAGAACCCCCCGCACAAAAGTTGTACATATATGAAAAAACTGCTCATATATAATAATATTGCACACGGGCTCGAGCGAAAAGAGAGAACATTGGGTAAAAAAACAGCAGCAGTCGCAGCACTGCAACCGTGGGGGTTCATTTTCGAAGCCTCCAACGCCGATCTACCGTTTATTTATCATCGATCAATTATTGAAAATGAGAAATTATCATTAACGCCACTTATCGATGCTCTCTCTTTCTCTCGAGTTAATAAAATATAATGAGCGCTACGCGGCGCACTCGGCTCGTTGCAGCACAGCAGAGGAGCTGCTCGTGCGTACATGTATACGAGGTTTTCGCTGCTGGTTAAAATTTTCTCGAATGACGCTCGACAACACATTATTATGATAGTCGACGTCGTCATTCGTTACATAAAGCCTCTAATGCACGCGTGTAGAGCAGCAACAGCAGCGCCTATATTATCACGATGTGTATACATGCTGGCGTATCGAGCGCGTTTACATTGCTATAACTGACACTCGCGCCTCTGTACTGTGTGCGTAAATGCAATACGCGGACGGAGAGTACCTAACTTTTTTTTTATCATTTTTTTAAATTTTTTCGCTCGTCAACGCAGCACTATTACCTCGCGGTGCGCAAAACGCAGCGCAACGTCGCTGGCGGTGCACACGCACGACATACAATACATAATATAGGTATACGTATGCATACGGAAGACAGGTCGCGCCTTTTATTTATTTTTTCGTGGAATATCGATTTTCAAGCCGGCGTACATCGGTGTCTGCTGTTGCTGCTGTCCCCGCGCGCCTATCTGGCAACGATGCAGTCTTCGCTCCGAGAGCACACACACGCGTTTTTTATGTGCAGGCACGACGACGACGACGACGACGACGATGGGTCGAGGGAGAGAGGACGGAGAGATTGAGAGAACAGCAGCAGCAGCAGCAGCTATTTTACGGTCCACAGTGAGAGAGAGATTGTTTTTTTTCTCTTTTTTCAATGCATAACCCACTGTTCGTTTTGCTCCTCTTTGTCGACTGCCCTTTTCTCGTTGTATGTTCGCACACATACGCGGCGTGCGAAATATCGTACAAATGAAGTCAACGACGAGTGCGTGCGGCTAAAATACAACGCAACAGCGTGAAAACAGTCGCTATTATTTATAAGCGCGGAATCGGGAAGAAAAACGCAAAAAGTGTAGAATCGAAGAGAGGCACGCGCGAAGCATAACCTTAAAAAAATCACTCAGCCGGAGTGTATACGACGTCTCTCTCGCGGAGGCTTTGTCTCGCGCCATGAACTTGGCTCTCTAGTATAGCTGTATACTTTACTATAGGATATATATTTCGTGCGCATTGCCACTCGGGCGTGTCACGTGCCTATCATTACAATGCAATAATTAAAAAAATAAATAACAATCGCTCGCCTTTAACGGTTGTTCGCTCTCTCAGCTGTGTGTGTGTTTTATAGGAAAGAAAAAATTATAAAGCAAATCTCCTTTGCTGCGTATGCGATTCTCAGTCGGGTAAATAAATACAGCACGAGCATCGTACACGAAAACAATAACAAAAACACAGGTAGGAGTATACTGGTAGTATATGTAGTGCACGCACACGGCAGCACGATGACGTTTTTCTCGCGACGACGCGGCTAAAACGAGCGCGGATCGCTGCCGTTGCTCTTCGCAATTAGCCGCGCGATTAGCCTGCACAGTGGGTGTTTAAATACGCGCCTCGTTGTACTCGTATCTTTTTCTCTCTCTCTCTCTCTCTCTCTCTCTGTACCGAGTTCATATGTAATAAAGTGTGGAGCAGTCACAGGCGTCGAGTATTACTACAACGACGTGTTTCACGCACGCGGGGGCCCCTGCGCGCGAGGAGATAACGGGCCACGAGTCAGGGCAAATATTTGACGTATAATCAACTACGACGACAACAGGCGAACGAGAGAGCGGCAGGTGTTTGCAGCAAATTTCGCTTGTTTTTTTTTCTCTCTCTCTCTCGATATATCATAGGCGCGCTCGTCGCGAATTCATTATGGATTCTAGTAGCACTCGATAGAGAGCAAAAAAGAAAGAAAGAAAGAGAAAACGAGTAGCGGAGTTTCGCGCTTACCTTGAACGCTCGTCGAGCAGAGCAGAGCGGCTACGAGGCAGCTGGCCAGCAGCGGCAGCAGCCAAGAGCGATTGCCGTTGATCATCCTTCGTCCTTCCATTTTTCGGTGCGTGCGAAATCTTTCGTTTCAAAACAACGAACGCACTGCACTCGCTCGGGAAAATCCGTCGATGGCTTTCTGTTATGCAACAACACTGGCCTCGATCACAACAACAACAACAACAACAACAAACACAAAAACAGCGACGAAGCTTTGTGTACTGCACTGTCGCCGCGTGTGCTGCTGCCACTGTTTACTAATAATGCCTCGAGGTGGTGGTGCTGCTGCTGCTGGCTGTTGGGTTGCTGCACTCGCGTAGTTGCAATATTGGCTGTCGTCGTCGTTGCTGACCCGGTGCCGGGTGGTGATTAGCTACGGCGACGGCGACGATCGACATCGTCCGTCGTAGAGCACTAGCAAAAATTACACAGAGCGCGACACACGACAGCACACACACACACACTGCGCGTTTTATAATGTAGCAATAAAAATAACTCTGTCGTCGTTATCTCACTCACTTCTTGCGCTTATAAGCAGCGGCTATGCTCTACGTCGGATTCGCGAAAACTGCGCCAGCAGCAAACATTTCGTCTTATAATACAGCCGAGACGTTTTTGCGTGTGCAATAAGCTCACGGCATGTGTTTGTGCGTGTAATATCGCGAACTACATGTGCAACATTTTATATAGTGGCGAGAGAGAGAGAGAGAGAGAGCAACAACTCACGCGGCCATTTTCGCACACATACCTACACTGCGTACACTCACTGCTGCTGTTGGAGGTATATCATAGAATACAGCACACACACACACGCGCGCGCACGCGTGCGAAGGCTAAGTTTAATCAACTCCGAACTTGGCAGTCGCGTTATTATGCGTTGCCTTATAGTACGGCCGTGTGCACTTTTACGAAACGCTGCATTTGGCGTCTCGCGTGAATATACACTATCTACTGATGTCGCTGGTACCGATGTACTGGTGTCGTCGGTGTGTGCGCGTTCACACACATACACGAGGAGCACGAATTTCAGTCGCGCACAGCACCGGAGATTCACTCACGGGGACCCAGTCGCAGCGCAATAATAATTTTTGCCGATTAATAGCCTCCGTCTGGTTATTTATTTATTTTTTTTTTTTTATAATCCCGTAGCAACGGGAGCAGTGGTGGCGTCTTGGCGCAGCAGTCATAGAGTACTGCTACTACTCGGCACTCAGCAGCAGTTATTTTGTGTATCTCCGTCTGCGAACTGACACCGAACACTACGTAGCATACATGTGTGCGCGCGTATATATCGTACACGAATCACTATTGAGCATATTATAGAGCAGTGAGCACCGCCGCCGTCGTATAGTCGTCGTCGTGCGATACGACTTACGTCCGGTTTGATTCGCGACTGGTTGCCTCCGCGCTCCGTTGTGTCTTGTGTGCGACTGACTGCGAGAATCTCTCCGATCCGCGAAGTAATATAACGTTCGCTACTATGTACTCGCGAGATACAAGAGACAGCAGGACAAAGCTGCTCGGGCCGGCAGTTCCATGTTTGCTCGCCGCTCGGCGCTGTCGGTCGCCACCGACGTCTTCGGTAACTTATTGGCGCGAAGACGAATATTCCAAGTGTCAGGAAAATGAAAGATTTTGCGGGTTTCGTGTGAAAAGTAATGTACTTTTATATTAATCTTACATCTAATCATCACATTGGCTTTGTTTCGCGACGTTTTTTAATTTACAATACAATTTTTTTATCAAATATATGAGCAGTGCAGACTGATGTAACTGATTGTAACTGTAATAGAACATAAAAACCGATTATAAATTTCAAAATGCTTTAAGCTAAAATGAAACGTTTTATCTTCATGTACACATTTTTCACGCGAGCTGGCTCTTGCTTTATTATTAATGATACTATTCTTCCAATGTACAAGTAATTAATGTTGTTATGAAAGCAGAAAAAAATGTTTACTATTCCGTATAAAAATAATAATTATTATCATATACACTGATATATATATGAGCAGTTTTTTCATATATGTACAACTTTTGTGCGGGGGGTTCTCGGATCTGCCCCAAAATTTAGTATGTCATTTGGGTATGTGAAAATAGCCTTCAGGTAAATTTTTAGCCCTCTAGGGGCCTTAGGGCCCAAATTTGGGCCCCTCGAAGGTCCAAAAATAGCCGTTTTTACCTATTTTTGCGTATTATTCAAATATTTGTAACTCGGGCACCGGTGCATATTTTTTAACTCTGAGGGTCGCATTTTTTAGGTCAAGACATGTACTTTTCGTAAAAAAATTATGTAGAGCTCGATAGACCAACCCCCGGTTATGGGGGGGCAATGAAGGGGGATGAAAAATCGCAAAATTGACGTTTTTTAGCTTTTTTTGAATTGATGCAGAAGGCGACTGGATTGACGTATTTACTTTTGCAACGTCTCATTTTAAAGGTATTTTTATTACCTTTAAATTGCCGTGCGCAGAATTAAGATTGGTTCAAAAACGACGGAGATAGAGCTGTTTAAAGGTGTCAACATTATGAAAAAAGGCGTTTTTTCGAGATTTCGATAAGCTGTAACTTTTTTCTAGTAACATGAATCTCTTTGAAATTTTATGTGAAAGTAGTTGATTACATGTAGTTTGAAGCCATGTAGGTAAGGATCTTGGTATTTGCCTCTATAACCGAAAACGAGGCCCCCGAAATCCGGCACTTTAGCCCTTATATAGGCAAAATACATGTTAAATTGGGCGGCAAAACTATTTGGTAACTCCTGAAATTATCGCAAAATAAACATAAAAAAAAAATCAAAAACCCCATATTAAACGTATTTTTCGACGAGGAATCCAATGGTAACCTCGAATTTGACCTTGAACATAACCTCTAAACTATAGCGAACCAAAATTGATTTTTCGCACGGTGACCCCCTTTTTTTATTTCAGATTTGAAAAGAGCGGAAAATTTCACGTTCAAATACATATTTCGTTTTTTTTTTCAAGGTAATTTTAAGGGCCCCACAGATCAAGAATAAACTCTTTGGCTGAGTTTAATATTAGTTTTAATGGAGCCTTCATTTTCAAACTGTGGGGCCCTTAAAATTACCTTGAAAAAAAAAACGAAATATGTATTTGAACGTGAAATTTTCCGCTCTTTTCAAATCTGAAATAAAAAAAGGGGGTCACCGTGCGAAAAATCAATTTTGGTTCGCTATAGTTTAGAGGTTATGTTCAAGGTCAAATTCGAGGTTACCATTGGATTCCTCGTCGAAAAATACGTTTAATATGGGGTTTTTGATTTTTTTTTTATGTTTATTTTGCGATAATTTCAGGAGTTACCAAATAGTTTTGCCGCCCAATTTAACATGTATTTTGCCTATATAAGGGCTAAAGTGCCGGATTTCGGGGGCCTCGTTTTCGGTTATAGAGGCAAATACCAAGATCCTTACCTACATGGCTTCAAACTACATGTAATCAACTACTTTCACATAAAATTTCAAAGAGATTCATGTTACTAGAAAAAAGTTACAGCTTATCGAAATCTCGAAAAAACGCCTTTTTTCATAATGTTGACACCTTTAAACAGCTCTATCTCCGTCGTTTTTGAACCAATCTTAATTCTGCGCACGGCAATTTAAAGGTAATAAAAATACCTTTAAAATGAGACGTTGCAAAAGTAAATACGTCAATCCAGTCGCCTTCTGCATCAATTCAAAAAAAGCTAAAAAACGTCAATTTTGCGATTTTTCATCCCCCTTCATTGCCCCCCCATAACCGGGGGTTGGTCTATCGAGCTCTACATAATTTTTTTACGAAAAGTACATGTCTTGACCTAAAAAATGCGACCCTCAGAGTTAAAAAATATGCACCGGTGCCCGAGTTACAAATATTTGAATAATACGCAAAAATAGGTAAAAACGGCTATTTTTGGACCTTCGAGGGGCCCAAATTTGGGCCCTAAGGCCCCTAGAGGGCTAAAAATTTACCTGAAGGCTATTTTCACATACCCAAATGACATACTAAATTTTGGGGCAGATCCGAGAACCCCCCGCACAAAAGTTGTACATATATGAAAAAACTGCTCATATATATATCAGTGTATATGATAATAATTATTATTTTTATACGGAATAGTAAACATTTTTTTCTGCTTTCATAACAACATTAATTACTTGTACATTGGAAGAATAGTATCATTAATAATAAAGCGAGAGCCAGCTCGCGTGAAAAATGTGTACATGAAGATAAAACGTTTCATTTTAGCTTAAAGCATTTTGAAATTTATAATCGTTTTTTATGTTCTATTACAGTTACAATCAGTTACATCAGTCTGCAAAAGTTGTAGATTGATTTATGCGCGACCCCTTATATCGTAAATTTAGAATATTTATAATAATTCTTCGGCAATATCTCCTTCTTCTTTGATGACTTCTAATGACTGTTTGATAATTTCAACAGTCGGTCGACTTCTTGGATCTTCTTCCCAGCATGTTTCAAGCAAATGACCCATTGATTTTAAAATCTGCACATGCGAGAGAGAAAATTATGTTTAAAAAATTTTGATTTTCTGAACGTTACACTTACGTTATCTGCAGCCCATTCTGGGGGAATAAATGGCCTTAGCCGATTAGTACATATTGTTTGATGCATTTCTCTAATCGTGGGGTTAGGAGACACGTTTCCAGAAAACGGCTGATCATGTATACCTCTCGAATTTTTTACTACCACCTCCCACATAGTTAATGCCAATGCATACACATCAGCACATTGGTAGTCTTCGATTGTATGGTTGATTTTATGTTCCAATATCTAATAGAGAACGAAACCTTTTGTTAATTCAGATAATCATGTACGAAACGAACGAAGGGGAAGTTCTCATCTGGCAACCCAAAAATTAGGTGATATTCGCGATTTTTTCCAAAGAACGAAGTTAATAAGTGCTTAAATTATTAGGTACATTTTTAAGTATACTAATTTTTAAGTATACTATTAACTACTTTTACAAATTTTCATGAACAGAATATCGCATAATTCCTTAGTTATATGTATTCAAAGATAGGCATCGAAAAATAGTATGTTACTTGCCTAGGGAGCGAAAAACTGGAAAGCCTGGAGAGCACGTGTAATTATCGTCCGAGGCAAAGTCGAGACTGATAAACATGTGTTCTCAGGCTTTTTTTTGCATCATGGGGGTGTATACTATTTTCCGTGAATCCCCCAGCAGAAATTCACTTTTACATACCAGTGGCCTGAAAGTAGCATTTTCCTCCCGCTGCGCTAAACGGAATATTGCTATTTTCGGGCTATGGGGTATGTAAAATAGCATACCGGCCTATACCGGGAAAAGAAAGCCCCTGGGACTCTTCTGTTTTCCCGCCCTAGAGCAGTAATATACTATTTTGCTTTGGTCGACGGAACGTAAAAGATTAGTATCGTCTGGGGTAGCATAAAGAAAGACATCTCCATAGCCGGCAAGGTAACGCATCCAATTTTTGTCTGATATCAAATCTTTTTTATAAAGTAGACGATTGCTGAATCAGCTGAACTAAAATCACTAAGAACAGTTAAAAATTAACAAAACGACGGACTTACGAACATTATTTCGCACTTTTTTTAGTTTTAAAAAGTGCTGTAACAATAAAAATAATGATGGTTAAATTGATTTTAGTTCGGAATCTAGAAAATTTAATGATCTTTAACATAAAAAAAACTTCATATCGATGTCTACAGTAGTTTTTGAGATATCTTGAGACTAACTATAAATTCAAATTTACATACGAAATTTCAGCAAGGGATTCTTGAAAATATAAGCAATTAGAAAATGCAAAAAAAATTGATATTTCGGTCGAGCATGATGAGAACCTCCTTTTAGATGAAATAAAAATTCATACCTCGGGAGATAAATATCTCACCGTGCCGAATGGTTCATTAGCTTTTTCATTCACAGATTTTGTGATAGGATCTTGTTTCACCGCTTGGCCAAGATCAGCTATCACACACGTGGCATCTAGTTTCACTAGAACATTCTTTGATTTAATATCTCTATGAGCCATTGCGGGTTTGCGCTGAGCGACGATCTGTCTGTGAAGATAGTTAAGGCCAGCCACTATTGACATTACCATCTTGAACATATCATTGGTGTTGATAGTCGAATTGTCCAGGTAGTCAGAGAGGGATCCATTTGGATGGTATTCCGTAAAAATATATAATTGAATGGAAACATCAGCTGCCGGGAAAGAAAAGAGACAGAGTTGAAATTCGGCATTTATTATATGAGTAGTTCGAACCAAAATCTTGAGTTGAAAATGTAAAAAAGTATAAAGAAAACGGTTTTTCATAGGTACTGAGAATTTGAAGTGGCTTTCAGAAGTTCTAGGAAGTGAAAATGGTAGCTTAAAAAAATCTTATGGTAATTTTAACCCATTAAAGACCAAAAACATCATGAATAAATCTGGCAACATTTGAGAATGTTACTTGATAAATTCTAAGATTTTTTTTTAACTTAATGTTTTTCGAAAAAAGTTATTTTCGTTTACATAAAAAATATCTAGTATTATTTTACACGAAATCCATCAATTTTAGAAGAAAAGTTTATCGAACAAAAGTGTCTTGGAATTGATCAAGAAACATACACAAATTTTTTCAGAATTTTTTATAATAATTTTGGTTCAAATTTTTACACACCCTATATTTATCAAATTTTTGGATGTACTGCCATTCTTCTTTATACTCAAGACGCTTAAAAATAAATTCAAATTGACATTACCCGCCGATAAACCAATTTATTTATTTTTATTATTTTGTTTTTAGAATTGCCGGTATGGTGTGAACTTACACTCTGAACCCAAAAGAGTAAATTTCGAACCTCAAAAGAGTAATCTGCGTTATTCACTCTTTTTAAAAGAGTAAATGAACGCAGATCACTCTTTTCACTTGAATGCTAGAACTTAAAAGATTAATCTGTACGAATTACTCTTTTAGAAAGAGTAAATAACATAGATTACTCTCATTGAATATTAAAAAAATATTTTGTTATATATGGGTCAGATTCAGAATTTTTCAAATAAACCTGCGGGCGAGGTTCACGGATTTTCCCGAAATTTTGGTATGTTATAGTACATGATAAAAAAGTGCCAAAACCAAAATTTTGGACTCCCTCCCCCCTCCTACCCCCCTCCTCCCCTATAGACGTCCACTTTCTATCTATATTTTTTCTGAAGGCCTGTAGCTATGAAAAAATCTGAAAAAATTAACGAAGGTACTTTTCAACAATCCAAACAATCTTGAATTTTTTCAGATTTTTGCTTTACCTTAAGAAAAAATCATTGAAAATTTAAATTATTTTATTTTCGGTGAAATGGTTCGATGTACCAGACCGGAGTAATTTTTTCTGAATTCTGACGTCAAAAAACGATTTCTTGATTTTTTTCAGAATTTTTCGTTCATGTCCATTCAGCCTAGAGCTGAAAAACCGCTTTTTTTCACGAAAGTAATTTTTTTAAGGCGCTACGGAGCCTCAAAAAATCTGGAAAAATTTTTTTCTCATTTTGTTCATCAAAATACATAATCTCAAATTTTTTCAGATTTTTTAATTGAAGGCGATAGCATCTGGAGCCAAAAAACGTTATTTTTAACAAAAAAGGTTCCTGGAACCCGATGGTTCCGGTAAAAAAATTTGAAAATTTTTTTTTTAATTCCTTGTCAAATTTTAATAAATTTTGACCGTTTCAAAAGTTTGATTGAAGCTTCCTAGCTCATTCTAGAGCATAATAAAGATTAATGCGAAATTCTGAAGACAAACATCATATTTACTTTTTTTTCAGATGTCTTCAGAAAAGCGCGGTTTTTGGCTTCAAAAGGAGCGTTAGGTAATCTGAAAAAATCTGAAAAAAATTGAGGTTATGTCTTTCAATGCGGAAATGAACTGAAAAAATTTCCGAGTTCTTTATCGGCTCATATCGCCTTATCTCGATTTTCAGAATTTTTAATGATTTTTTCTGAAGGCCTGAAGCACTTGAAAAATTTGAAAAAATTCAAGGTTGTTCGGATTATTAAAAAATATTTTTGTGAATTTTTTCAGATTTTTCAATTACTTCATGTCCTCAGAAAAAAAGTAGAACGAAAATGTACGTTTATTCCGAAAGTGGGGAGTAGGAGGGGGAAGGGGGTCAAAAAAATTTTTTTTTTGACCTTTTTACCATGTACTATAACTTACCAAAAGCGCGTCAAGATCAGTGACATACGTGCGCACGGTTTTGTAAAAAAGTATTATTTTGACCCATATATTTTTCAGTAAAAAAGCAACAAAAAGCTTAAAAAAATTAATAAAAAATATTCTTGTAAGTGTGGCAAAAACTATTTTGTGAAAAATATTCTCATTATTGTAAGAATAAAATTAAATTATTTAAAAAATTTAGCTACACTTATATTGTATAGACTATATTATATAGTTTTTATTAAATCGTTGAAGCTTTTTGTCGCTTTTTTATTAATGCATATAGATATAGATATAACAGAATATTGAATATTAGGCCTTTAACATACTCATGTATCCCCGACGGAAAAAAAACCGTTCAAGAAAAAGTAAATGTAGTAACCAAAACTATCATATTAAATTGTAAAATTTAATAAAATGTAAAAATGTAAAATTACTAGCAATTTTGGATAGCCAATGCATTAAAAAAGGCAGCATAAAATCACATTTTTTTACACTTTTTTACATTTTCTTCGATATGCTATCCACGTGTGATCGCACCGACGCAACAAGTGATTTTCGTGAAAAAAAATGTGTTAATTTTTATGAATAAATTAAGACAAATTATGATGGATATGTATATAAACCAAATTCAGTCATTTCAGTACTCCCAAGTACATCTATGATAATGTTATAAGGCCTTCTGCTACATTAGGGGAGTTCCCTTTTTTTAAAGAAATCACTTGCTGCGGTCAATTTGATCACATGCGGGCTTGACTAGAACTTTAAACTCATAAGTAAAAATTGTATCATTTAAAATTATTATTACCGAATCTTATGTTTTTTTACACTTTTTTACTTTTTCCATGTAACTTTAATGAGATTGAATTCATAGGGTTTTCATTTCTCTAATTATAAGTAAACAAGTGTAATAAACTGTAATAAAAAGTAAAATAATGTAGAAAAACGTATCACATGTCCGAAATCTTTAGTAATCTTACATTTTTTACACTTTTTTACTTGCTATTACAGTTTACAACATTATAATGCACTTTATTTTAAAAAAAATTTCCGCTGGGGATATTTTTCAATATTCAAAGAGAGTAATCTGTATGCAATATTTTTATGCACGAAGTAATCTCTACCAAAAAAGTAATGGAAATGAATCGCTCCTTTCTGCACTCAGCATTTTTCGAAGAAGATTAATCTACGTTATTTACTCTTTCGAAAAGAGTAATTTACGCAAATTACTTTTTTAATTTCTAGCGTTCAAGTGAAAGGAATAAAGACATACCTTTAACAAGGTCACCGATGAAGTTTAGAATGTTTTCGTGACGTATCATTGGTGTTTTATAGTTATCAATCTCTCTTCGCCAATGGTTTTCGTGTCGAGAAGAAAATTTTTTCACGGCGACCGTCTTTTTATTCCATATTCCTGCAGAGACTTCGCTGAAGCCCCCTTGGCCTATACGTCGTAAGATGATAATTTCATCATTCGTAGTCTCCTGTAGATTTTCTGATTCCTGGGCATCCTGTCTCGTCCCGCTGCCGCTGGCGCTTTGCTGATGAAACTAATTATTTCAATGAAATTATTTCATAGATTGTATTTAATTAAATTTTCATTGAATCAATGAATTTTTTTCTCACTGTATGGACAGACGCCGAGAATGGTTTTTACTTATTTTTATAAGTATTTTTCCGTGTAATGAACACGAAACTTTTTTCGTTTTTTCTGGACGTGGCTATTGTGACCATTATAATTATTAACTCTGGGAAAGTTTAAATTTAGGTGCGTAACTATGTATATAATAATAGAATAATAATAATAATAATAACCAAAGCGAGAGTAGATTCGAAGTCGTCGCATCTGCCGCATCCGATTCAAGTTTTAGATGAAATCACCCTACGCACATGTGTAGCATCGAATATCTCTAACTCTGTTTCTGTCTCTCACTCTCTAAATTGCATCACGCCTAAATTTATCGTTAATTGGTTCAAACGCCTACATCATCAAATATCCCACATCATCAAACGTCTAGCACTAAATATTAGAAATCGTTGGTTCCACTCCATATGTAGCTCGTGTTACTTTTTACTCTTACATATTCTGTACAGCTGCGAGTACGTGTAGATCGCAGTATATATTTTTAGGCAGTATTCGTTACAGCTCAGCAGCGTAAACATCGAGAAGAGATCGCATAGTGTTCGGCCAGTGATTTTCGTGCATATGATTAAAATACATTCTAAATTAATAGTGTTTTAAAATGTTTTACGTGCGACTACGAAGTCGTTGAAGGTTACAGTGACCTACACAACGAAATCAGTGACAGTAATTTATTCCACGCGAATTATCCGAACGAAGCATGTGTAGAAAAATTGAAAAGCTTACGAGAAAATTTCAATTTGGAGGTCAAAGAAGAGAGATACGATCTTCTTGATCAACTTAATTCTTTGATCAGCCATTGGAGAGGCCCACTTCCTAACCTCCGGGACATTTTTCGGCCCGAAGAAATCGAGCGTCTTCTATTCGACACCATAGTATACATGGTGATCAAGTATAAAGATTCGAGTGTCGAAGATTCGAGTGAGGGTTTCATTGGGTTTGTGGCTCGCAGCGGATACAAGCACGAGCTCGAAATTGGTGAAAATGACAAAGCATCGCCTCGTCGCACTACGCCAATACATCACGCGAATAAATTAGGGTACTATAAAATCATTCCTGATCTTTTTAAAATTTACAATCGATACGATGTGAATTGCGTCGATGAGTCCGGGTTAACACATTTTTATGTGGCCTGCAAGTTTGGCTGCGACGATGTTGTCAAAAAATTTTTGAGGTTCGGCCAAGATCCCGATTGCTTCTGGTACAAAATGAAGGAATCACCGTTGGACATGTCTTTGGATAATAACGAAGATAAAAACCCACGATTGCAGCTGAGATACGAGGTTGACCCGAAGCCTTTCTATTCATATAGATCGACACCTCTGCAAAATCTTTTATGGAATGAAGACAATTTTTCCTCGGCGGAACTATTCCTCAAGATCAGCGATGAATTAAAGAAGCCATCACTGATCAATGTTTGGGAAGATTGGGGAAACAGACCACTGCTTTTAGCTCTGGATAATGAAAACAAGAAGGTGGCTGAATCGCTGCTGAAAAAAGGCGCCAATCCGAACGTGACTAATGAAAAAGGAACGACTCCTCTGCACATCGTTTCCATGGGAGAACAATGTTACGACTTGGCGAAGATGTTATTCAAGATCTGCGATGACAAGCATCAGCCGTTACTGGTCAATGCTCGGGACGGGTTTGGTGACACACCTTTGCACGTGGCATTGAAAAACTCGTCCTACGGCAAAAAGAACGTGGTAGAGTTGCTACTGAGCCATGGCGCTGACCCGAATTTGACTGATCGAAATGGAAACACGCTTTTGCACATCATTTGCGCGGGTCGTAGTAATCGCTATTTCGTGGTGGAGATTCTATTCCAGGTGTGTCGAAAAATTAATCGGACGGTGCAGATCAATGCTCGAGACAAAGACGGTAACACACCGCTGCATTTGGCTCTGGAATATCCCTGCGAAAAAGTATTAGATTTGCTGCTGCAAAATGGCGCGGACCCGAATTCACGAAACACTAAAGGGTTCTCTCCTTTGCACGTGATTTGCGACGGTCTCCGTGGAGATTATGCTTTGATGAAGATGTTTTTCAAGCTCTGTAAAAAAAATAATCTTCGAGTTCAAGTCAATGCTCAAGACGAAATGGGTAGTCCTGTATTACACGTGGCTTTGTCACGTAGACACTCTAAGTTGACCGAATTGCTGCTAGCTAAAGGCGCCGATCCCAATCTGGCTGATGCGAAAGGATTGACATCTTTGCACATTATGTGCAAAAAACGCATTGAGACGATTTATGATGACCGCTTTTTACATATTTTCATCAAGATGTGTGCCAAAAATAATAAAATGTTGCAGATCGATGCCCGAGACAAGTTGGGCCGTACACCCTTGCAATGGGCCGTGGCTAGTCTCATGCCGAAAGCAGTCGATATTTTGATAAATAATGGTGCTGATCTATCTAGCTTCACTTTCCCCGACGAGAGTCACTTTAACGAGATGTATCATTTTACAACCGATGATCCACCTTACGATGGAAAATTCGAACATTTCCCATTGAGACCAGCGTCCGGTGCTCTGGCCACCATCGAACGTCTGCAGGAGCGAGGATATGAACTGGACCGAAGCGATGTCTTGAAAATCATGAATATTTTCGCTAACTACGGGTTGTTCGAGAAATCGACGGATGTTTTAAAGTCTTTGTACGACGACAAGGAGTTTGCAAACGAAGCCACAGAGTGGATGGTAAAACCGGACCTTTCGTTCTACAAATTTATTCAGTTACAGCCCAAAGAGTTGGAAAAACTGCTCACTTATTAGGAATACTTGCACTTGAACAATTGAATAACGAGGATTTATATCATATTTGTTTGGCGGTTGCAAACCAAAGCTCATGATGGCGATAAGATTATTTGAACATTTTTTTCAAATATAGAGAGTTGTTTGATGTGGTACATTTTTCACATCATTCATATGAATAAATGTGAAAAATGCGTTTCAATTTTTCTATTAATAAACATATAATTACTTAAAGTAAAATATCTTAAATTATGAATTCATTTCCATGGCTCCTTATCAAAATCATCCCAATAAAAAAATTGTACCAAGATTACAAAGAACTTCACGATGAGATTACTTGTCGAAGAAGGCGATAAAAAACTTGCGGAGTTTGAATCTGTTCAGAGAAATTACTATAATTTAATTGGTAAATACGACGCGTTATGCCACAGTAACAATTCAAGCCAAAACTTTCTGAACGCAACCTCTATACTAGCAGGAGATCAGGTGTATCGTTTAAAATTGTCTGACCTGCTAAAATTTGACGGTGACATTTTTCATAAAAAAAAAATTTTTTTTTGTCAATCTATTTTATTAGATTAATAATAAAAAGCTCGTTTTTTGTAGTTCCGAAGATCACAAGTTTAGTACCTACAGAGATTTTCCTTAAAAATTTTTTAAATCCGCCCAAAAGCATCAAATTTGCCGATTTTTGATCAGTCAGATCAATTTGAATGATATGCAGTCTGACGCAATTGCGCAAAAAAATGAAACTTAGATGGGTGATTGCTGGTGAAATTTTGGAGCAGAATTCTAATACGTCATGTTGTTTGACGAAACTAGAAAGATTAATCGAGAGATTTGGGACGGTTGATGATCATAACGAAAGCGAATATAAGGACTTGGAAGTCGATAAATATAAAATCCACTATAAAAATAATGTTTCTCGCGAAGACTTAAGTCGATCTATCGTAAAATTACTTTTCAAACAAAGCTGTGGTATTAAGTTCGGTGAATCGAAAAATCTCGCGCGGTAACGGTTTCAAAGTTTGCAAAAAAGGCTCTCGACTAAATCAAAATAGTTTTATCATTTATCATGTGTCTTCAGAAACCATCTTCAGAATTTTGCATTAATCTCTGGCCTGCTCTAGATTGAGATAGGAAGCTTCAATCGGAATTTCGAAACGGTCGAAATTGAATAAAATTTGTTAAGGAATTAAAAAAAAATATTTTCAAATTGTTTTACCGAAACCATTGGGCTCTAGGAACCTTTTTTTGTTAAAAATAGCATTTTTGGCCCTAGTAGCTGTCGACTTCAATTGAAAAATCTGAAAAAATTTGTGGACATGTATTTTGATGAAAAAAACAAGTGAAAAATTTTTCCAGATTTTTCGAGGCTCCGTATCGTCCTAAAAAAATTATTTTCGTCAAAAAAAGGGATTTTTTACTTCAAAAGATGCGTTCAAATGTCTGAAAATTTGAGGTTACTTTTTTCAATGAAATAAAAAAGTAAAAAAATTTTCGAAAAAGTTATTGCATCCTAACGCCTTATTTGAATTTTCAAAATCTACAATCGTTTTTTCTGGAGGCCTAAAGCACTCAAAAAATCTGAAAAAATTCTAGGTTGTTTGGATTGTTGAAAAGTATTTTTATGAATTTTTGCAGATTTTTTAATTGCTTTGAGCATTCAGAAAAAATATAGATAGAAAATGGACGTTTATACCGAAAGTGGGGGGTAGGAGGGGGAAGGGGGTCCCAAAATTTGGGCTTGGCACTTTTTTATTATGTACTATAACATACCAAAAGCGCGTCAAGATCGGTGACATACGTGCGGACCAAAATGTAAAAAAATATTATTTTGACCCATGTACAATATATGAGTAAGGCTCAGAATTTTTAAAATAATTGTGTGGACGTATGTCATTGACCTTAATGCGCTATTGGTTTGTTATAGTACATAGTAAATAGATCCCAAACCCGAAATTTTAGACTCACATTGCAGGCAATCGATGATTTTTCACGCGCGCGAGCACGACTTTCGCGAAATAAGCACCTATGCAAGCCAAAGACTTGTACATACGTATATCGTGCGTTGATGTACTAGTAAAACATGAATTTTTTTTCCATTTTAACCCATTAACGCTCAAAAGTGCAATGTTGTGCATGAATTTTAAATTGTATAGAAATCTTGGATAAAGATAAAATTTTTACTTGAAAAACTATATCTAGAAGTTTTTGGGTATGCTCTTTCACAATCCGGTGTCATTTTTGCGACCAATAAGCATTGACATCGATTATTTTGCAATTAATAAAAAAACGTGATTTTTTGACTGACATTTTTTTAGAGTCGATTTTCTACCTTACCTTGCTTTCGAAGGGTTCCTATAACAACGCGTTTTTTGTAGGTTCAGAAAAAAAGTGAACGATTGCAAGTGTTATCGGAACCCTCCGAAGTCAGGGCAAAGTAGAAAATTGACTTAACAAAAAAAAATTTTAAATCAAAAAGTAGCGTTTTCATTTTTTAATTGCAAAATAATAGATGTTTATGTTTATTTATCGCAAAAATAACACTGGATTCGGAAAGAGCATACCCAAAAATCCATGGATATGGGTTTTCAAGTAAAGGTTTAAACTTTATCTAAGATATTTTTACAATCGAAAGTTCATGCACGAAATTGCACTTTTGCGCGTGGATGGGTTAAGCCCTCTGTTATAGTGCGTTCATAGTGATGATAATTTTCGTACTTGCAAAAATATCAATGTTTTTTCTCGAATGCATCGTAGCATACCCGTGGGTAATTCGAGTTTCACGATTTTACTAGTTAACAGGAAAAGCGACAAAAAGTTTTTCAACCTCGAGCGTCATCAGAAATAAAAAAATTATTGTTTTATACATGTCCGCTGATGTGAAATTACTCTTAAAATAGTATGCATTAATTTATGAGCTGAAATAAATGTATAAACTTTTTAAATGACATCATGGTTTGACGGATTTTAACAAAATCTGAGGGTATCCAGAATCTCGTACATCAAAATTTTCTACGAATTCAGTGATTCCTTATGTACGCATAATTGTCAATTCGATGTGAGCCACCAATTAAAACTTACTAAACTTGAGAAGCTAAATAATATTGTAAGAACTGTGTAAAGAAAATAATTGTACAAGTCATAAATGTGTAGAGAATTATGTGCAGCAAAAGCTAGTCTAGTAACCATATGAATATGATAAATAAGATTAGCCCATATAAATGTGACATTTATCACAAATCGTTTTACTATTCAAAAAGACCTCGAAAAGCACAAAAGTGCAGTTCATGATCGTCGCAAGACTTTCGAGTGCCGCAAAGGTCATACATCATTTGGATAAATGGTAGCCTGTATCAACACATGAAATCAATACATGTTCGTGGCAAATTCACGTAGTTTTAATCTGTTTTAATCTGTCTGTGTTTTAATATTCCTTAATTTTGTAAAAAATATCTTAAAACTATTATTTAATTTTATAAGAGCTGTGAAAATTTTCAACATCTATTGTGATTGAACTTATAAATTAAATAGCACATCAGGATTTTCAATTTATACATTTTGTTATCACCGGTAAAACCGATTCTTAAAAGTTTCCCTCATCAAACACTCCTTATTCTTGCGACGACAAAAAAATTCATGTCATTTCTAAATTTCGCTTTCTGCTTATCGTCTCATCTTTTTTCAATCTTAGTCGTCGCGAAAATGCACTCCGACAGCTCAATGAACCTAATAATCAACGACTTTTATCACTTCGATCGCGACTGTACACCAGAACTTTGCCGACGATTCAGTAAAATCGCTCGATCCATTGACCAATTTATTTTCGTTTTACTTTCTATTTTTTTTTGCCTCGATGTAATGGCGCGCATTGTTGCATGCAGCATCACGATCACGGGGAATTAAATATTACTATGGTGCGAGACTCGTTTTTCCATAAATTATGCTCGCGATGTATGTTGCAGTCTTATCTTCGGTGCGGAGTCGGCTCGCTCGCGTAGGCGAATATTACACGCAGCGCGCACAGGAAAATATCCTCTCGCTCGTGTGAAAATATCGCGCGAAAAACGAAGCTACGTATACACACGAGAAGATAGAAAGAGAGAGAGAGAAAAGTCAAGCGCGCACACTCGGTAATACGCGATCGCGAAGGGATATTGCTCGTATATATACTAAGTGCTCTATCGAGTATGTGTGTGTGTGTGTATATTATAATATAGCCCCACGGGCGTGCCACATACTCGCGAAAACACCACAGGTATGTAGTAGTACTATATATAGTATTATATACTGAAAGCAAAAGCACTTGTCCAAACCACACGAACACACACACAAAGAGACCCACACACATACAAATTGTTGTATTCTATTCGCGATACGCGTCGCTCATTTTCATGGTCAAAATGAGAGTGTATAGCATACATATACGAGCTTTTATTTTATGAAGCCTTTAAAATTATGTGGGCACTTGCATACTTCGACACATGCAGCATCCGAGGGGGGAAGTAGCGTTGTGCAGCTGCTTTTCTCATAATATTCTTTCTTCGACTCTTACGGCCGGTTTAACGCGCGCCGAGCGATTAGAAAATTAATTTCACCTCGTATAGGCTTCACTAGCTCGGAATGATTTACGCGCGTCGTTGAGGGAAAAATTGTGTATACCGCACGGAAAGCCGTGTCTCGTGAGCAGTCGTTAAGCGAACAATCGATATATATAATTTGTTTAACATAATGTTGGAATGCTTACCATTGGATTTTGAAAACAGTAAAATGAGAGTTAGTATGGTACTCTTATGCCAAAAGCTAGCCCAATTTGTTTTTGTTCGACACAGAAACAACTTATAATTATTTTTAACTGACCAGCGATCACTTAAAGTATACTAGACCATCACTTACAGTTGACTGGATGATGTCAACGAATTCTGATGGGATTATGTTTACAAGCAGATCAGTGATTTTAGGCGGCGGAGATGGGCCGCGCGACGCTTGTATTGCCGGCTGATATGGCGTCTTCTCGC